TATCATCTTCATTGCTAGGATGGGATGGGGTTTGCTTTCTATTTATGTGCTGTGGCCTGCCTTGCCAGTGCTGGTGGGGGTGGGGGTTCTGTTTTGCTCATCTGGTAGTTCATTGATTAACATCTGTTGACTGTTTAATTGTGTGCCTGGTGGTGACCTTTGCTTATCTGGGTGATGACTGCTGGTGATTGATTGTTGATGAGGTGATCTTCTGGTCTTTTGTCTCTTTTGAATAGTATGTAGATGCTGTTTATCTCTATGTGTCTGTTAATTGCTGCCTTACCATTTTGCATCCATTTTGATGTGCTATCTTCCATCCAGCTGTGCTCTTTATTGGGGGTTTGTATCTGATGCTGATGAGGTGATCTTCTGGTCTTTTGTCTCTTTTGAATAGTATGTAGATGCTGTTTATCTCTATGTGTCTGTTAATTGCTGCCTTACCATTTTGCATCCATTTTGATGTGCTATCTTCCATCCAGCTGTGCTCTTTATTGGGGGTTTGTATCTGATGCTGGTGGGTAGGGTATGCTGTCTTAGGCATTCATGTAGAAAAAATAACTCTTCTTTGGTGGAGGTTTGCCTGCATGCAAATTTCTCCCAATTGCTGCCTTGTCTGAATACCAGGCTTCCAAGAATTCTCTTGCAAATACACCCAGATCGAAATACCCAGAATCATGGACCTCATCAACCTCTGCCTCACCACCTATTTTCAGTTTGATGGACAAATATACCAACAAATCTGAGGCACCCCCATGGGATCACCCCTGTTAGGACTCATAGCAGAGATTGTAATGCAACGCCTAGAAGCTATAGCACTTCCTCACATACAACCTAAAGTATGGATCCAATATGCAGATGACACATTTGTTATTATAAAAAAGAAACAACTAGAGAAGACACATGAAACCTTTAACAGCATCTTCAAAGGAATAAAATTCACTAGAGAGGAAGAAAACAATAACACTCTACCCTTCCTGGATATTCTCATCAGCAGAGGAAAGAACAGGAAATTAGAAACCCAAGTTCATCAGAAGACAACCCACGCCAATCAA